GATTTCTGGTTTGCCCATGGGTCAGATGTTATACCAGGAGTATTTTCCTTCCAACCATGAACTGAGTCAGCTGAAGGATCGCATGCCCGACCGCTACGAGACCTTATGGGACCTCACCTGTCACTATTACATTGCTTTGGTGCAGTCTAAGCCCCTAGCGAAGAGGACCAAATCAAATGTGAGCCTGAAGCAGTTCGCATCATATTTGTTCAGGAATCTGGAGAGCCATTCTGGCAAAACTATTTGTGAACTGGCACCGCTGACTCCTTCAGAGGTTAATGAGCTGCTGAAGAAGACTGACGCCCACTCCTATACCATTAGCAGTCCTGAGAGTGGCTTTCCTGCAGGGACTAAATTCAAATCATTCTTATGCCATGCGACCGCACCGATTCGGCCGATGACCCTTCTTGCCGGCTACCTCGCTATCTGGTTAAAGAAATGCGTGGTCCCGTATCAGTCCGGTGACGCTCTGCCACTGGAAGTGCTCTACCCTGCGGTTCAACTTGCCTACAGAAAGGAACTTTCACTTCTTCCGGTGATGGTGGCTAACATTCATCGAGGGCTTCGACAGATTTCCAGTACTTTTACACGGGAGGAGAAGGAATCGCCGACTCAGATTCCTACCACTAAGGTGGAGCTTCCGTATGTTTACTTGATGGCTTGGTTCGTCCTTCATCGTTCTGACTCAGATTCCCACTACTAAGGTGGAGCTTCCGTATATTTATTTGATGGCTTGGTTCATCCTTCATCGTTCTGACATGATGTCGGTACCGCATGTCATGGACCACTCTGTTCCCTTACTACAGCTGCTTGAGCATGGCGAGTGGGAAGGGCGAGGATTCTCTGATATCAGGAGGCAGCTACAGGTCCACAAGTGCTGGGCGTTCTCTACTTGTTTTCCGCAGTTCTCCAGCCGGTATGGCGAATGTTTGATTGATGAGGAGAAGCCGAGGGAGTATCGCACTTATTTAGATATCGGCTGCTTTAATTGGCTAGTGAACATCAGGCCGGACTACTTGACTTTCCGGGTGGGGAATCAGTGTTTTATAGAGCCGTATCTACCCTGCCGATTCGCTCGCCAGTTTGGTTACGACCAGCTTTATGTCGGGAACCCACGCCAGCAGGGTTCATGGAGGTTTGGTGGACAGTCTTCGTGCATGGTTGTGGACCGTGACAGGCTGCACTGGTGCCAGGTTTAGTCTCCCGGGTGCTGAGCGACCGTTGAACCTCACTTTCTTGAGCTGCAGGTGGTTGTTAGGAGCTAATAAGACTGTCCCTGTGAAGCCTATTGAAGAGTTGGTGGCCGAAGAAGCCTCTCAGATTGATTCTCATGTGATCTTCAGGGACAGCGACAAACAGTGAAGAGGAATTCCGTCCTTTTGCCCGGGCAAGACCTTCGACTACTGTCCGTGCTGATAGGCGGAAGAGACTAGCCTATAAGCCGCCTGCAGATTCGCGGGCATCTGAGATGGACTTGGCTGGTGATGATCCTGCTAGCGACAGAGGTAACATCTACTCTATAGATCATTCTCTTGATCGTTTAGATTTTTAGGCTGATGCTTTCCCATTCTATGCAGGAGAGCGCGAGGAAGGGGAGATGAGTTTCGATCCTGCTCCTCATGAGTTTGTATCTTCTGGTGAGCCTGACTCACCTTACCAGGTAGAAAAACCTGCAGAAGCCGCCGACTTTAGGGAGGCTACCAATGTAGGACCTGATTCAGTGAATCCAGATACATCTACGAGAGGTAACTTATTTCCATTGGTCATATTCTCTTCATTCTTCTTTCGTACTTACATTTCTTTGTGTCAGATTTTTCGATTGACGATTTCGACGAGGCAGGTTTTCCTGCAGACACTTCTATGTTCCACTTCATGTATGACTCTCCTCAGATCGATGGCCCGCTGCCCGAGGATATGTTTCCTGAGCCCGTACTCCCTCAGGATCCCGAGAATGGTTCTTTTGAAAGTACGTGCCTCTTCTCGAGTTAATTATAGGACTAGCCAATTTTTTGACTAAATGTAGCTATAATGTAATGCATCTGAACATTCTGTTCTGTGTTTAACAGGAGCTTTTGCCGAGGCTGATCCTGCTGAGCCGGCTGTGAGACCAACTCCACCAGTTGACACACCCACAGCCGTTACGTCTCCGCTACCCCCAGCGACTCAAGGGGAAGGAGGTATAAATTAAGCCGCTGAAAATGTCATTTATTTCCTTATTAAGGCTTTTTGACGGATTTCTCCTTTTTGTGTAGGGCTTTCCTCTCGGCTTCATGTCCTCGTGAAGGAGTTGTTATCGGACAATGACCCTGAGAAGATCGTCATTTGTGTAGAAGTCCGCTCTTTCTTCTCCTTTATGAATGTTATGCTTGGCAAACTTCTCTACGACGGACTTTCCCTTCGCCAGTTTAAACCATTCCTTGATTCTAAAATAAATTTAATAAGGGATGCGGCCTTCGCCAGTTTAAACCATTCCTTGATTCTAAAATAAATTTAATAAGGGATGCGGGATATCCGGATCTGGCGAGAGTTATATTCGATGACCTTGACTGCTTAGAGCGTGAGCTTCAGATATTTCACGAGTTCCGGGATGCAGGTGCCTCTTCATTCATTACTGCTGAGTTGGATACTCGCTTACAATCATGGCGCAGTACTCGGATGGTTGCTGAGCTCGAGATTCAGGTGTAGCGGGGCCGAATAGATCGAGTTAAGGCTAACCTTGCTGCTAAGTCATCCTCACTTGACGAGCTTGATTCTTCCATCGCTTCTTGTGAGACCCAGATAGATCAGCTCCGACGAGAACTCCGTGAGAAGGAGGAGACTTTGAGTATTCTCCAGATGACAAAGCTGCAGGATCAGCAAACACACACTGCTTCATCTGATGAGCTGAAGTCCTTGAAGTAGCAGCTGGTCGAGACAGAGGAAGTTGCGGTGAAGACTTTAGCCGCCAATGAAGAGTCCATCAGAGCCGAGTTGCAGGATGAGCTTAGGCAAGCTTATGATGAGAAGCTGTCTAAGTTTAGTCAGCAGATTTTTAGCCATGGGCTTGATGTATGATTTTATTTGCTGAAAACTTTGACATTTGATTCTCTTAGTGAAACTGGTTTTTATCTTTATCTTTATTATGATTCCTCATTCCGTTTGAAATGATTGACCATAATACTCATTGGATTTTTGGCAAACCCTCAGCCTTCAACGGGTTTGATTAGCCTTTACCAACCACCGTTTGAGTCGGGCTAGCATGCGGATTGTCGAAATCCGTTCCGCATGTAACGTTGTGCTAAGGG